TTCTAGGGACCTATCCCACAGGAACCCTGGCAAAAATGTGAAAGGATATCTGCAGAAGACTTTCACTGTTGAGCTATTTTTAATAGCAGAAGACTAGAAACAACCAGAACGTGGTTGAATAAACTATGGCGCATCCACCAATGCAGTGTGAGAGAGTGAGACAGAATAAAGAATACCCACTCGTAGCACTTTGGGGGATGTGGGGTAGATGTGAATTTTGGGGGGCCAGAGGGCACACTGTAGTGGGTTGAATGGTGGCCCTAAAGATGTGTCCACGTGGAACCTGGGAATGTGACCTTACTTGGAAAGAGTCTTTGCAGAGGTAATTAAAGATCTGGGAGACGAGATCATCCTGGATTAACCATGGGGGCCTTAAATCCAATGTCAGGTATTCATATAAGAGACAGAAGCAAAGACAGAGAAAAACACAGAGGAAAGTGCCATATGAAGGTGGGGCAGAAACTGGAGCGATGTTTCTTAGACAAGCCAAGGAACGTCAAGGATTGCCAGCAACACCAGAAGCCGGAAGGGGCAGGAAGGACCCTCCCCTAGAGCCTTTGGAGGGAGTGTACCCTGCTAACGCCTTGATTTAGGACGTCTGGCCTCCAGAACTGCCCAAGAATAAATTTCTCTCGTTTTAAGCTACCAAGCTTGTGCTAAATTGTTACAGCAGCCAATACAGATTTTGGTGGTCTCTGGGATATATATATATATATTTTTTTTTTTTTTTTTTCTTTTCTTTAGAGACAGGTCTCCCTATGTTGCTTAGGCTGGTCTCAAACTCCTGGGCTCAAGTGATCGTCCCACCTCGGCCTCCCGAAGTGCTGGGATTACAGGTGTGAGCCACCGCACCCAGCCTAGGATATATTTTTAAGTGGAAAAAGCCAGATGGAGAAAAGTGTGTTTATTGTGCTACTGTTTACCCAAGAAAGGAGAGAAATACAAATATAGATGTGTACATATTTGTGTATATAGGCACATGTACATATCTGTACATATGCATATATGTCTATTTAAAAAATAGACAATGCAAGGAAAAACATTATTTCTTAAATGGTTACCTATAAGGAGAGGAAAGGAATAGGGAGAGGGGCAAGAATACAAGTTAGACTCCTTTAAATATATCTTGTTTTGTATATTTGTCTTTCAAGTCATGTCAGTATTTTACATTAAAAATAATATTAAAAAGATCAATCCATAAGAATCCAAAATAAAGTGAAACACACATTGATAGCTTAACCCCACAGAAAGGAAATATTCCAAGTTACTTTACATCACAGTAATTTGACTGCACATTCCTAGTGAGATAAATCTTAAGGACTGAAATAACTAACAAAAATTTCAATAGTTTTTCAGTAATTACAGTATGTTGGTGGTGGTACTGTTGATATTGCTATTCTGAAACTCTTGTGTACGTGTGTGTTATGGGAGTAAGCAAATGGGGATTTATGTGATATTCTATCATCCTTTTTCTCCTTAAAAAAAAAATATTGTCTAACTCTTTCCATCGAAAAGGTCTGGCCAGGTGCAATCCCAGCACTTTGGGAGACCAAGGCAGGAGGATCCTCTGAGGCCAGGAGTTCGAGACTGGCCTGAGCAACATAGTGAGACCTGTCTCTATAAAATATAAACAAATTAGCCAGGCGTGGTGGCATGCACCTGTAGTCCCGGTTACTCAGGAGGCTGAAGCAAGAGGATCACTTAAGCCTGGGAGTGTGAGGCTGCAGTGAGCTATGATCGAACCACACCGCACGCCAGCCTGGGCGACAGAGAGACCTTGTCTCAAAAAAAAGGTCTAAAAAACAATGACCGAGCCAGTAGCAACAAGTACCCCCAGCACCAAGAAACCAGGTGGCCCGGGGGAAAAGAACAATTCCAGGTCAGACATGTCTGAACACATGGCTGTGGCGGGGAGGGAGGAATGGGGAGTGGCTGCTAATGGGGATGGAGGCATCTTTTTGGGGTGATGAGAATGTTCTAAAATTGATTGCAGTGATATTTGTATAACCCTAAACATACTAAAAACCAGTGAATTATATGCTTTAAATGGAATGTGAATTATATCTCAAGGAAGTTGTTACCAAAAAAACATAAAGAAATCCCAACAAGTGGGATTTAGATTCTGTTCAAAGGGTTAAAAATTGGAAAAGTATACCTTGGATATTTAGTACCAGTAAGGAATTAAATGCTAAGATGCGATGAGGGCATTGTGCATATGTTTTTCTCTTTTACCAATACATACTCAGATATTGAAGGATGAAATGATAAAGTGTATGGGATTTGCTTGAAGTCACAAGGAGAAGTGGGTGGAGGTGTAGATGAAACAAGATTGGCCATTTGAAGCTGGGGGAGGGTTGCATGTATGTTCATTTTACTATTTTCTCTGATTTGATACCTCTGGTCTTTATATTTAAAAAGTACGTGGTTTTGTCTGGGCACAGTGGCTCACGCCTGTAATCCCAGCACTTTGGGAGGCTGAAATGGGAAGATCACTTGAAGCCAGGAGTTCAAGGCCAGCCTGGGCAACATAGCGAGATCCCATCTCCATTAAAAAGTTTTTAAAACTTAGCAAGGAGTGGTGGCTCACGCCTATAGTCCCAGCTACTCGGGAGGCTGAGGCAGGAGGATCGCTTGAGCCCAGGAGTTCAAGGCTGCAGTGAGCTGCACCACTGCACTCCAGCCTGGGCAACAGAGCAAGACCCTGTCTCAAAAACAATAAATAAATAAAACATGTTTTTATATATTTAAGTCTCCATAATTAAACATTCTTTCCACAAAACACACATTTCCACTGTGTTCTTAAGGCAAGTTAGTTTAATTTTATAGAAGAAATACTTTCAAACAATACAAATGACACAATTAGAGAGAACAGTGACAAAAACAAAGAGATGAATACTGATTATAACTTCTTCCCACAACAGAAGCTTACTTATTTCTGCGATTATCAACCAAAACCTGACAGTTAGTGACTCGGTGAAGTGAAAGCCAAATTCTCTTTTACATGCAGTACTGTTTCTGAAGAACCCTGGGGGCAGAATTCTGATGGTTTCTGGACCAGAACTGCTGTAGAGCCTGGCAGAATTTTCATTGCAAGGCCCACTAGATGGCCAAATTTAAACCTCAGATGAAAACACCCCTTAAGCCCATAGGTCTTCCCTTTTCTGGCGTGTGGGATATTTGGGGGGGGGGCAGTGGTAACTAGGCAGAAGCTGCAGAACCGCGTTGTGAACGAGAAGCACCGTGGGGTGCGGCGCCACGCGCCTGCGCAGACCGCCGCTCGCTCTCCGCCGCCGTTGGCGCGACTGCCTTTCCCTCCCAGGGCTGCGCTCAGCTGCAGAGCAGACACCGGCAGGGGCCAGGAGAGGCAAAAGGGAAAGGTGGCAAGCACAGTGCTCTCAGACTGACCCCGAAGCAGGGCTGCCTTTGCTTCTTGCAGGGCAGCGGTGGGATTCTTCTAGAAAAACCTTAGTGGGACAGGGAGGAGGGCACTCCAAACAGAAATCTGCATAAACTGGGCAGTGAAACTGATTTGAAAACACTTGTGTGGGGCTTTCTGTACTGGCACAGTGGGTTTCCCTCACATTGCGACTTGAAGGAGCTTGGTGGAAAAGGTGCCTGCCTCAAGACCCCAGCCCGCTTAGAGAGCCGCTGCGCCACGGGCTTGGCGTCCAGGGGCTCGCCCCGCGCCCGAGGCAGCAACGATCTGTCCCCCCGCACACCCTGGGGTGCAGCCCGCAAGGGTTCATTGCTGGAGTTGAACGTTTCAACAGCCGGGGGCCTAGACAGATGGCGTGCTCCGCAGCGCCTAAGAACCCATGGGCACTTTGGGGCTGTCTATCTACTTCTGTGATGGGCACATATAAAAAGGAACTGGCCAAAAAAAAAAAAAAAAAAGCGAGACCAGAGGCAGAAATACATAGCGAGAGACAACAGCCGTGAAAAGCATAGAGTTTTCAGTCTTACCACCACTGACAAATTCCATTGTCTATGATAGGTCGCGTGTCAATGAAATGCTTTTACAAAATTCATTTTTAATAAATGTAAAAAGGAAAGTGGGTTATACAAGGGGAGGTTACAGACTGATGGGAAAGAGGAAAAACCTGATTAAAAGGGACATTTCCAAGGGAGGAAAGACCCAGGAAGAGAGAGTTCTGTTTTCTTTGACATTTCCTGTGACCCACCTCGTTCACTCATGCGAGGTGTCATGAAGCAGAGTGCATTTCGTGGATAATAAATACATATTAGGCAAAATATTTATATCATTTGGCATTTAAAAGAATAATGGCATGTTTTTATTACATTAAAAGGTTTTTTTTCCTCATGAGCTAGTTCTCAGATTTCGTGAGGAACATTGGGTAGACTGCAGCACGGGGGCGTTCTCATTTAAATCAAATACTCTCCTGCAACTGGGTAACTCCAGTTACCCGCGTCCTTCCCTCCCCCTGTAAAGGTGATCGTGTCTATGTTGTAACTGCTATGTTCACCCACAGAGGCACTGAAAACGGGCCTTCCCAGTTCCCTTTTCACTTTCCTTCATGACACAGTGGTGTGGCAGGAGTTCCCCACCACCCTCCTAGTCTGTTGCGATCAGACGGGGCGGGTGGGAAGCAGGCTGCCCGTGGTCAGAGAACGGGCAGCGTGGACAGCCACCGTGGACAGGCAGGCTGAAGCCTGGGACGTGGAGGCTCTGTCACCTGCTTCGGACCCATGGGGACACAGAAAGATGCATCAGAAGACAACACAGAAATGAGGAGCGGTCAGTGCGCAGTCCACACGGGAGACTGGCCTCTGCAGCGCACGCGTGCTTGTGAACTACGATCGAACTGCTGCAGGTGACATCTTGACATAACATGAAGAAAGTGAACGTGTACAATATGTGTGGTAAATGCACATATGAGAAACTGATACAAGTGACGAATTTAGCACATAGTGTTTGCATTTCAGGTGTCAAAAACAAAATCGGCCCCAAGCTCCATTCTACTGCATGACAAATACTGAAGAACAAAATTTCAGTCTTAAAATACATCTTAAAGTCAGTATTTTCCTTCAAGGAAAAAAAAGTACTATAAATAAATTACAATACAGTGAATTTGCCTGAACTCACTTCGTTTCTGTCTTCCAGCCTTTAAGTCAAATAAAACAGCATAAAAACTGTACATTCTTAACACGATAGTTGATCTTTTATAAAATAACCTGTCTTCAGAGATGTCGATTTCACAACAAGGAAAAACCAAGCCTTGTTGCCGTCACTATTATAAAATATATATGTATAGATATATGTGGTTTTCTTTTTTTTTTTTTTACAAAATGTGTATATTAATAGCTTTGCACAAATATTTTAAAGACGAATTTAGCTAGTCTAAGAACTTCATGAAAATAAACAGGCAGATAAATACTTCATGTGCACAATGCACTACATCAAACGTCGTCAGCTGGGAGAGGAGGTATGTTAATCCTTGGTCGTGTAAAAAATGCTATCTTCTCCCTGGGATTGGAAAGAATGACAGGTTAGTGGCAGATCTGAGATATTGAAAGCTGCCAGCTCTCGCATCAGTGATGACTTTTCTTACTCAAAGAATAAGTTGAGTTTAAATCCCCAACAGCACATCTGTTTGTAGAGATTCTCCAAATTTTAATATAGGTTATGAAGCCCCATAAGAGCAGGGGTTTATCTCCAGTGCCTAGAACAGTGCCTGGTATGTATCAGGTGCTCCGGAAATATTTGTTTTATTAAGAAATGATTGAAAAAATGAGAAACTATATGAATATTAAGGGTATACAAAAATTAAGGCTAAAAGTCAGGCATATATTATTCAGCCATAAAAATGAGTGAAGCACTGACACATGCTACAACATGGATGAATCCTGAGAACATTCTGCTGAGTGAAAGAAGCGAGATGCAAAAGGCCACGTATTGTATGATCCCATTTATACGAAACAGTCAGAAGAGGCAGATCCCTAGAGACAGAAAGCAGACTGGTGGCTGCCAGAGCTGGGAAAGTGGAGTGGAGAGTGACTGCTTAATGGGTGTAGGGTTTACTTTGGGGGTGATGAAAATGTTTTAGAACTAGATAGAGGTGGTGTTTGCACAATATTCTGAATGCACCAAATGCTACTGAACTGTCAGTTTAAAATGGTTCATTTTATGCTATACGAATTTCACCTTAATTTTTCAGACACCAAAGAATACAGGTATATCTGTGCAAATCCCCTCATAAAAAACAAAAACAGGCAAAACTACTCTATGCTATTAGAATTCAAGGCAGTGGTTACTCAAAGAACCACTGAGTGCTGGGAAATCTGGGAGTGCCGATAATGTTCAAGTCTCATCGCGTTGAGTTTTCAACAACTTGCTGGACTACGTACATGTGATAAGCACACTTCGCTGTACATAGATTTTGCTTCCATCAAAAGTTAATTTAAAAAGCAAAGGTGACATGTATATGTATGTAAATCACTGTTGTTTACAAAAGCAAACGTCTAGAAAGAAGCAGCATGTTACGAAATAGAGCAGTTGAATGAATTGCATCTACTAAAGGAAACATTACAGTCAAACAAGATAAGGATTACGCTGCAACAGGGAATCTTTCAATTTAAAAATGCTAAATGCAAAACTGAACCCACATCATGGCTACAGGTGACATGAAGAAAAGTGCATAGAAAAAAAGATCAGGAGAAAAGGCTACTGGTAGTGGGGTGCTGGTTACAGTGGACTCCTGTTTTGTTCTCGACTTCCATGGGTTTTTTCAACACTTCCTGTACTTGCTGTCACAGCAAAGGTACAGGAGTAAGAAGCAAGTAGTGCCAAGCGAGCCGGCAAAACTCTGCGTCTCTCCCATACCTGAAGGTCTGCACTGGGATGGGCTCTTTGTTGTTCTGTCCCCGCAGCTGGTAGATCTCCTTAGAGGCCTTCTTCAGCATCTTCTCCGCTGCCTGCTCCTGATGGTAGTCGAGTTTGCTCTGCCGTGTCTGGAACGGCAACATTTCATGCATAAGACATTTTTATTGCTATTTTTTAAGCAAGAATGAATGAGTTTGCTCCGAGTCCCGGAGCCCAGAAGAATCCACCAGTCGGGGGCAGGGAGGGGCCCTCATCCAGCCCCACAGGGAATTCTTCACAGGGACATTAGGGGTGGCTGGAGGCAGACTTGGGACCCAGAACATTCCCCCCACCACATGGGGAGGGCCCGTGCATCCTTCATCCAGCTCCCAAAGTGCATGTTGGCTCCACTGCAAAGGGCATCCTCCCGGCCCACGAGGGAGAGCACTGGCTCCATAAGACAAGTTCCTGGACCATTCAAATTACAATTTCATCACCAGAGACATTCATTTCAGAACCCGCGCGCAACTGGACGAAAGGCCATGCCACGAGCAGGCAGGCTGGGCGCTCACCTGCCTCTCGGCCTCCTTCAGCAGGCTGCGGAAGCGCTCGTCCCGCAGCACCCAGTGCGGGAGGTCAGTCTGGCCTCGCAGCTGGGCGTCCTCCAGCCGCTGCCTCAGCTCCCGAAGGGCGCAGAGCTCCTCGTTCAGCTGCCTCTGCCGCGTTCTCGATGCCTGGAGATCCAGCTCCAGGTCCAGGGACGTGCGGGCCACGAGCTCGGCCAGGGAGGACCTGCAGGACTGCAGGAGACAGAGGCCGTGAGTGTACGCCCTGGCCCCACGCAGGGCAGGCCCGGCCTTCTAGAAGGCTCTTCTACAACCAATAAATAGGAGACAGGTGAGGCACAGGTATTTCGCTAAGCATGGCCCAAGGTTAGAGAAACACCTGGATTGGGGCAAGATGAATGTAAATCTCTAGCTCAATATCAAGGTTAATAACAGCAAATTGTTTCTCTTTAATGATGACCTATGTATTTGCAAAAGTGTGGAGCAGCAGATGCTCTTATATGGGGCTGGCTGGATCAAAATTGGCTCCATTTTTCTGAAGTACCATTTGATAATATATGTCTAAAGCAAACTTGCATCTGAAAAGCAACAACTGTCAACATGCGAAGTGGTCCAATTAAGGTTTATGACAAAAAACAAAAACCCTAAATCTATAACAACAGGACAGTGATTAAATAAATCACAATGCCAGCATAAAGTGCAGCCATTGTAAAAAGTTGAAAAAGTATATTGACATGGAAAAATGTTAATGATCTACTGTACAAGGAGAAAAAATGTTACGAACCATGAGTGCTTTTCGTTTAAAAAGTATACACACGTACCCACATAAGTTGTCAAAAACTTTCCTCCCCATGTAAGCCCCAATACGCAAATACGCCATGTTCAAACAAGCCCCAAGAGGTGAAAGGACTGTCCGTGGCGCTGAGAGCAGCACTTACCATCCAATGGGGAACGGAACCCTGGGAGGGCAGTCACTACGCCGCGGCCGCAGCCCACGAGCACAGCACCGCCGGTCGGTGGCAGAATAACTGTGCTTTTCACACGCACAACACTATCTTGCACGTACACAGAATTTAAATGCAAATATGGGTCGTCATTTAACAAGTACAAATTCATTTTAAAACACTGCTTAATTCATAGCAGAGCTCAGTGGTTCTCAACCAGGGGCGATCTAGCCCCCCACGGGACATTTGGCAATGCCTAGAGACATTCTTGGTTGTCCCAACCGGTGTGTGTGGGGGGTGCTACTGGCATCTGGTGGGCTGAGGCCAGCGGTGCTGCTAGGCACCCTACGATACACAGGGCGGGCCCCACAGCCCAGAATGATCCAGTCTAGACGGTCCACAGTGTGGCTTCTCAGAAACACTTTTGTAGCTGAATTGTTTACTTTCTTCTAATTCTCAGCCAGCAGCTACTCTAAACACAACCACCACGTGGAAATGTGGGATTTTTTTTCTACACATGTTCAAAAGGATCCTTGCCTGGAAAAGACAGGGACCTACTAGCTTACAAACTAAAAGCACTAAAACTTTATAAACTGGCATGACGTGAAGAAAAAATGTGGTGAGTAAAGAAAATGAAAAACCATAGAGCAGACCTATGTAGAAGAATGCTATATGTTAAAAAAAAACTCAACTTTTCTAAACTATATATACTCTTTTGTGAAAAAAGAAGAAAGAGCCAGTTACATAGACATGGTTGATTACTTGTTACGTTTAAGAATGTAAAGATCATGAATTATCTGAAATCATGATATGATCTTAAGAAATACTAGTGACATTATGACATTATATCTGTTAAGTAAATAAGTAAATTAAAATGTTTCCTTTTAATTAATATGACTGTAAACATTACCTAAAGTATTATCTTTTAAAGTTTGTAAAAATGACTCCCAGGGCAAACATAGATTCCATATTCCTTTACATGGCACACACCTGCTTGTAGCGAAGGGTTCGTCTTTCCAGAGTATTTCGGACAAAGGGGGACTTCCGGGGCAGCGTCGAACTGTCACTGTCACTACGATAAAGCTGCACCAAAAAAAATGATGTTCAGAAACAATTTCTCAGAAATTCAGTATTCATTCCCTGTGTGTACTAGGAATGGGATTATTTCCCTTCTCCTTCCCAGGTGCTCAAACACACTTAGGACTTTTGGTGTTTTTACAAGGTCTTTGGGTTTCAGTTAAAACAAGAGTTTCAGGTAAAATGAAAAACAAAACAAAAAACAAACAAAACCTCCACCCCATTTCCAGGCTTATGAAGTCAACCAAATCTTCGTTTTATGGATACCAACTACGATTCGGTATCGTGTGCGGCTCTCAGGAAGGCCCGCACTGCCCTCAGCACACTTCACTTTTTTGGTTTTTTTAGAGACAGGGTCTTGCTCTGTCACCCAGGCTGGAGCGCAGTGGTGCAATCATAGCTCACTGTAGCCTCACACTCCCGGGTTCAAGTGATCCTCCTGCCTCGGCCTCCTGGGTAGGTGGAACTACAGGTGCGTGCCACCATGCTTGGCTAATATTTAAAACATTTTTTATAGAGGCAGGGTCTCACTATGTTGTCCAGGCTGGTCTTGAACTCCTAACCACGTGATCCTCCTACCTCCAAAAGTGTTGGGATTACAGGTGTGAGCCACCGTGTGCAGCCATGTTTCACTTTTTATCAACCGTTCTCATTTGTCATATTTCTGACTTTGGCCAGAACTGGAAAAAATGGCTTTCCAAAAAAGACTCACTCCTGGTAGTAAGACAAGCTGATATCACCAAGTGCCACTGTGTCAGTCAAGGTACAAGGTCTGCTTTTAAAATGCAGAATAAAGAATGCCTTCTTTATGGGAGCCGAGTCATTACAGATTTCATTTGGTGGCAGGGTGTCACCTCAGGATCAGTGTGTTCCTGTGTGAAAGCCACATCCTCGCCTTGTGGCTTCATTTTCTGGGCCAATTAACCCGACACACTCAGGAAATGCACTGGCCCGGCAACCTTCCTGCCCTGCGTTCACACGAACACATGCACACGCAATGAGGCCTCTAAAAGCGCAGCCACTGAGTGCGGAGCACAGCACAGGACCGGGCCATCTCTCTCTGGGTAAGCAACGTGCCGGCCTCTTTCGCGCCCCTCCTCGATAAGCAGTCGTGAGCCACGCCCTGCTGGCCCGGCAAGAGCCTGGGAGGAGGAGGGCTGAGGGGACGGCCTTCCGTCTGCATGTGGCCCTTCACTCCAGCGTCAGCCTGCACGCGGCAGAAGTGTGACAGGGCGGGAGGGCCTGGACCTTGTGCTAGCAGGTCAGCTGCCAGCAGGGACACTTCAGATCTGCCGGAACAGCAGCGGGTCTCTCGAACATGGCACAGGGGCAGTTCAAGCCATCTAGGCCGCCAGCTGCGGCTGTTCACACCTGTGCAGTAAAGGGGTCACCTTGCCCGGCTCCTGGGGGCAAAGTCTAAGGCCCCAGAATGTCCTGCCTGGTAAGTGTCCTGGCTTACCCGGGGGACGTGGGCCAGGCCCACATTCGATGTTAACGGTGTGATTTAGGTGGGGACCTTGACCCATCAGCTCCATCTCTGGAGGGGCTGGGAACTGAGGTGAGCCCTGCAGGCCACCACCATGCCTCCATGACCAACACCCCATAAAACCCTGGACACCAAGGCTCGGGTGAGCGATCCTGGTTGGCAATACTCTGCGTGTGCTGTCACCGTAATTACTGGGGGAAATAAGAGCCGTCCGCCCAACTGCGCTGGGAGAGAACTGGAACCTGCCATCTCCTGACCTCGCCCTCCGCTGCCTTCAGTCTGTGCCTCTCACTGTCGCAAACCGCGCCCGTGAACACGACAGCTTTCTGAGCTCTGTGTGTCCTAGCCAATTACCGCACCTAGGGCGGGGGTTGCGGGGGACCGGAGATCCCTGAACTGCAACTCCGATGTCTCCTCCAAGGGTCTGAGGGGCTTTTTCGCTCCAATGACCTGACGTTCGCTTGGCCCGAATGGAGCCAGCTCCTTGGCAGCCCCATCCGAGGGCAGGCGCTTTCGTCAACACACGCAATTCAGAGGTGCAGGAGGGGTCAAGGCTGCCCTCAACACAGACGGCCCATCCAGGCCACTGTGTCACGACCAGTCATCCTTAAAAGGCCTCTCTGTCCAAGTCTGTGCCATTGTTGTCACACTGCTGCTGTCAGCCAACCTCCTGCATGCTGTCCTGCCCTCAGTGACCACATGGCTCAGGTCTCCCCTCCACCTGCTTGGGGCTCTCCACCTCGCATTAGATGGTTGGGTGGTTCTCCCACGTTAGAACCATCTGGGAGCTTCCAAGAGCTCTGCTGCCCAGGCCCCACCGTGACCCATGGCGAATCTCTGGGGTGGCCCCCGGGCACCAGTATTTGGTGAGGCCGCAGCATGATCTGACTGCAAGGTGCAGTCAAGGCTGAGAACATCTGTCTCCCACCTTCGCCCACGGGCTGCGAATTTACACGTGGGTGAGAGCCCCCTGCCTCAGCGCCCAGACCCCTCCAGGCTGCTGCCCCCCCTCCTGGCCTCCTCACCACCCAGAGCACCCGGCTCCCCAGACCTCGGCCCGCTCAACACAGTCCCTGTTTCGACTTGCTCCTCAGATGGATGGAGAAAGAATTCACCCCACTTACTGAGCATGAGCCGACGCATGTGCGACACTGAAAATCTGGGGGAAAGTGAATGGGAATCCTGAAGAAACACAGAATCTGCTGAGCATGCGAGAAAGCAGGAGGCGCCTGCACAACACGGTTTCATCCCACGCGCCCACGGTGCTCACTCGCTGCTGTTATTTGTGCGACTACATGTGTCTTTTGGCATAAATAGTAAAACAGGAAACATAACAAAGAGAATAAAAAAAGAGTATGTTCCAGACAGGTCGCAAAGGAATTCCAACTTACTCTGCAAACATACTGGCTTCGTGCTCCAGGCGAGAAGGTCTGAGATCGCACGATCGTGCTACTCCGAACAAAAGGGGCCCCCCGGGCCCGGCGGCTGGGCCGCTCCTGCAGGAGACTCGCTGCTGCTTCTGGGAAGAGATCTTCTGTGTTGGTTTCCTTGTCAACCTAGGGAGTAGTGCACCATGACCGTGGCTTCTTCTGTAACATGAGCACTGAACTCAGGGGGAACCACTGCCTGACTTTTCCACTTGGAGGTTTAACTGGCGTGTCCCATGTCACACATGCAGAATGGAACCGCTGATATTCCCCCCAACCCCCCCCCCCACAGGGATCTCTACTTCTCCATCTGTTCATGCAAAAAACATCTTGGTGTCATCCTGACTCCTGATCTCTTTCGCATGCCCCATCTCTGGTTCAAGAGCAAATCCTGATGGCTCTATATTCAAGATCAAGTGGGTTTTGACCACTTGTTGGCAGCCCTTCCCCTGAATCGCCATCATTTCACGCCCAGATCAGTGCATGGGGGTCTCACTGGTCTCCCCTATTCCACACCCCCCTGCCCCTCATTCTCTTCTCAACACAGCAATCAGGGAGATCCCAGGAAAACCAGAGTCAGGCCCTGCAATTCCACTGCTAGGTAAATACTCCAAAGAGCTAAAAACAGGTGTGCAAACAAATGTTTGCGCACAAATGTTTGTAGCAGCACTATTCAAATAGCCAAAAGGTGGAAACAGCCCCAATGTCCACTGATGGGTGAATGGATCAACAAAATGTGTTCTGTCCTTACAAGGGAATGTCATTCAGCCATGACAAGGAATGAACTTCTTACACATGACACAATGTGGATGAGCCTTGAAAACATTAAGCTGAGGGAACGAGCTCAGACATAAAATGCCACGTTATATGATTCCATTTACACGAAACATCCAGAATGGGCAAATCTGCAGAGATAGAAGGGAGATTTTGGTGGCTGCCAGGGGGTAGAGGGAGGGGAATGGGGAGCGACTGCTGAATGGGGACAGGCCTTACTTCGGGGCGATGACAGTGCTGTGGAACTAGACAGAGGTGGTGGATGTGCGACACTTGCGAGTGTACTAAACGCCACTAAATTGTACACTTTAAAATGGTTCAGTTTATGTTACGTGAATTTTACCTCGATAAATTATTCTAGAAAAAAACTAACCAAAAACCCTTAAGTCAGATCATGTCACCACTGGGCTGAAAACCGCCCACCAGTTTTCCACACCTCTCAGAGAAAAGCCAGGGGCCTGAGTGGGCCCTGCTCAGTGCAGCCCCTTTAGACAACTCCTCCCTCCTCCCTCCCCGGCCCTGGCAACCGCCATGCCACTCTCTGTCCTGTGAATGTAACTACTCCAGGCACCTCACAGGAGCAGAATCACACAGCGTTTGTCTTTTTGTGCCTGGCTCTGAGAGTGGAAAGAACAAATCAAAGTGTTTTTTCTATTCTCTCACTCAACAGCAATCAACACAGAAGATTCTGCGATGACATGTGTGGGGCTTCTCCTCACTGACAAGCAAACCATCGATTCCGCAGCAGACGCCAGTTCAGTTCTGACAGTATCCGCCTGCCCCCCACATCCGAAACCAATCACAAGCTCCACGTTATTTTGGGCTTCTGACCAACTGGCCTAAAATAGGGGTTCCCACAATCCCCCTTCCTTGGGTTCCATTAGTTTGCCGGAATGGCTTACAGAACTCAGGAAAACACGTTTATTTGTTTATTATAAAGGATACAGATGAAGAGAGACGCGGGGCAAGGAATGGGAAGGGGTGCGGAACTTCCATGCCCTCTCTGTGCACACCACCCTCTAGGAGCCTCCACGTGTCCAGCTATCGGGAAGCTCCCTAAACCCTGACCTTTTGGAGGACAATCAATCATGGAGGCGTCATGACTGATTAAACCATTGGCCATTGGTGATCAACTCCATTCAGCCCCTCTCCCCTCCTCGGGAGCTGAGGGTAGGACTGAAAGTCCCAACCCTCTAGTCCTGCCTGGGTCTTTCCAGGGGACCAGCCCCAGCCTGAAGCTACCTAGGGCTGCCAGCCAGCAGTCAGCTTGTTAGCATACACAGAGACATTATTTTGGAGAGTCTAAGGGTTTTAGGTGCAGTATGCCAGAAAACGGGTCAAAGATGAAATATTATTTTACAATAACACACTGGCTTATTTCGCTCAGCATGATGTCCTCAAGGTTCATCCATGGCATAGCACGTGACAGAATTTCTTTCCTTTTAAAGGCTGAATCATACTCCATCGTATGGACAGACCCACTGTGTTAATCCATTCATCCACTGATGGACACTTCGGTTGCCTCCCTCTTGCTTACTGTGAATAACGCTGCCATGAACACAGGTGTGCAAGTATCTCTTCGAGATCCTGCTTCCGATTCTTTTGGATATGTATCCAGAAGTGGGATTGCTGGATCACATGGCAGTTCTATTTGTAATGTTTGGAGGACCTGCCATACTGTTTCCATAGCAGTTGCACCATTTTATAATCCTGACCTTTCTAAAATGTCAGTATAAATTTACATCTCTAAATGTAAACCCTTTCTAAAATTGCAAGCCTCTCTAAAATTGAGAGCCCTACTTACCTCCCATCTTATTCTCCGGCAGCCTCTCTGACTATATGAAACACTCTCGTACGCTAATGACCTATCCTCGCTATCTTGGCCTCCCTCTTGAGGGCGGGAGGTATGTGTGACGCCCACAGAGACAGAACGCAAATGTGGTAAAGGACACACACTTGGGGCATCTAGGTGATGAGTATATGGGTATTCGTTGTGTTATTCTAGCAACTTTTCCATCGATTTAAAGGTTTTTGAAATTAAAATTTGAGGGGGGGAAAACACCACACTGGCCTCCCAGGGCCACTCACTATGATTTGGGCTGTTGCTTGGCAAGGTCTCGGAGAATAGAACAAGGACAGTCACTGGCAGCCTGGCACAGAACAACTCTTCCAGGCCTGCTGTAGGGGCTGCAGCTTGGGAAGCCGCCAGGGGGGCAGATTTTACTTTGCATTTCAGGGTGAGGGCAGGGGCCAGGATGATAACATGTTCTTTTGAGCTGAACGGTTTGGGAAACAAAGTTTCAAAAGAGCACTGGTACAGCGTCTTCCAACCTCAATGGGCTCCAGCATTTGTCACTGTGGACGTGACAGATTTCCTCCTTGAAGATGTGGTGACAAGCACAGCTAAGATCAGACAATGAGAAAGGGCGAAAGCACGCTTTGCTGATCGCAATGTTATGAAGGAGGAAGAGTAACTACAAGAGTCCAAAACCTTCAGGACTTGGGAAACTTCCTGAAGACGGGAATGGATCAGCACATGCAGGCGTGTGAAGGAGTCAAAGTCCTCTTTTTCAGCACAGCTGGCCTTTCCTTGCGATCTAAAGTGCAGACATTTCTACCGTACCTGGCGTGCTCATTTTAAGCCCTTTACAGATCTTAGACCATTCACGTCTTTTCCTCAAATCTCAGGAAAAAGTGGCCTTCGCTGTCACCCCCAAATCCAACAGCACTGTCCACTGCATAACATGACTTCCCCACATGCCACAACGCCAAGTGTGTGTGTTTGCAGGCCACCCACGCTGTTCCCCTCCTGAGCCCATCAGCTCAGGTGTCCTTTAGAGCATCCCCTCTGCCCACCCCTCGCGCCTGCCATGAAGGATCTGGGGGCAAGGAGCTCCGCCTTCCAGGGCAGTGCCTGGTATCCCACAGCAAAATGTCGGGGGGCTCTGTGAAACCCCTTGACATTTCCTACTTACCTTAAGAGGCAGGGCCTGAAGTTTCTCAGGGCTGTAAGGATCTGCCTGGCCAGCAAATGCGTGTCCCTGGATGGCATCAACACCGACACAACAGGGCTCCGGGTATGGGGGGCTGGTCTGGGTGCAGTTGCTGCAGCCACTATCCATCGAGTCGGCCTGCCAGCTCCTAAGGGGGACATTGCGAAAGCCCACAAAATGGTCATCCAAGGGGCTTCTTCTGTGCAGCTTTTAGAGCACAGCGGTAGAAGCACGTGATGAAACCTATTTCTTTCCAAAGATTGAAGACAGTTGCTTCTCTCATAAAGTAAAGGGGCATTTGTCTGCTCTGGGGAAGACAACACTTCAAGGTCTTTCTTTAAACCGGTCTCTCTTTATCACCAATTGCACCTGCTGAAGATACCAGAAAACTATTTCCTGTCCATCCCTGAACACGACGCCCTCCCTCTCTGCTGTGCGCTACCCCTTCTGAAAATAAACTCCCCTGTAAGCTACATTCAGGCAAAGCCTCTGGGAGGAAGCGGGAAGCTCTGCAACATGACAGCGCTCTAGAGAGGACCGACAGAAGCCAGTCACGACAGCAGCTCGCTCTCCCGAGCTGTCCGGCTGCTTCATGCAGGTCTCCAGAGCGAGGGCTCGTCCACAGGCTGCTTCAGGTGAAGCATGACCCCATCTCAAGGAAACGTCCAGAACAGCCAACTCCACAGAGGCAGAAAGCAGGTTCATGGCTGCCAAGGGCTGGGGGAGGGGAATGGCAGTGACTGCTAACAGGTGTGGGGTTTCCATTGGCAGTGACAAAAATGCTCTAAAATGTACTGTGGTGACGGTGGTGACTGTGACCATCCTAAAAACCACTGAATCACACACTTTAGATGGGTGGATTGTACGGCACATAGCTATATCTCAATAAATCTGTTCGCGAAACCCCCAACAACTTCGGGTGACTTTATTGTACCTGATCCTGGCAGAGCGGAGTCACCCCAGAGCCCACTCCCGAGAGAAACTCCGGGACGGGAGGAGAAGGCGGAAGGCCTGCACAAGAGCTGGGGGACAGCTCAGGTCAGCACTAAGTGCCCGGCCAGAACCCCGGCTTCTGGGCAGCGGGACGGAAGAACCTCGCGGCGCGTCCTGCGGAGATGTGTGGCTGAGCAAAGCAACCGCACCCCGGGGAGAGCCACGGCTGCCCGGCTCCGGCCGCCCCATCTCCCCGCAGGTTTTCAAGAGCTTATTGCCCGGAGGTCGCCGTGCCGCTGCCGTGGGGAGGACGGTGTGGCCCGGACTGGCTCTTACCGCTCAGACACGGCCTCGGCCTGCTCTTCCTTCTGCGCCATCTGCAGGGTCTCCTCCTCGGCGCGCCCCAGCTTCACGCGCTCCTCGGCCAGCTCTCTCTCCACCGCCTGCAGCTGCGCCGTGGTTCTGGCCAGCAGCGCCGCCACCTCGTCCTGCAGGAGACGGGCGCTCAGCCGCGCCGCTCTGCCGCAGCTCTGCCGCACGGCACGTGGGCCACCGCCCCCACCCTGCCCCGTTCAGAGGCGTATATTCGTGTGGCCTTTTCCAGAGCTCCCAGGGCTCAAACACAAAAGTGACCAACGTGCCACCCGTGACCATGCACAAGTTTGCGTGAAAAAGGCATTCTCATGCAGTGGCCGTGAGCATGGACGTGTCTCACGTTTATCACCTCCCTTAACACTCAGTATCTTCATCGCCACGGCATTCTGCCTTTAAGCGTACATGGACGCTTCCTGGATATGCATGACTTCCCCAAGTAAAAGCCAGTCTCAGAGCCACGGAAGCAGTAGCTCCTAATAGCACGGCCAAGTACCGTCTTGCTGGAGGCGGGGTCCCCTGCCGAGCTGTCCCCCGCACACCCGCTCTCCCTGGTCCTCGGTGGCTCTGGGCTGGTGAAGACCTGGACCGGGTGCCAGCGCAGCTGCATGTCGCTGGAATTGTCGTAGTCTTCCAAGTTAATTTGAGCAATGCCCTGCGGGGTGTCAAACAAAGCCAGAACAGACACTGCATGATTTCACCGTAACTGGAGTCCTTTACAATACCAAGCTCACCCTTTAATCTTAACCAAAAAAGGCACGAAATATTTCATTGCTGTTAAAAGGACTGCAGCACAATGAAAGGGGTCTCAGGGGATCCTAAGGGCGGTGGCACCCTGGTCACTTGTTTGGCCCAATCAGAAAGTGCTCGAAAGGGAACAGTGGCAGAGAAGGGGCAGCCTGGAGTGCTGGGTCGGGCCTAGGGCTCTGCCACTTGATGAGCCACTGATTCTCTCAGGGACTGTTGAAATGAGAAAGCACTGCTGAACTCTGACCCCCTAATTCTTGTGGGGCTCAGGGGACGGGACTGAAGGGGAAAACTCCAGCGGTGGAGAGAAAGCACCCCCGGCTTCCAAACCCTGGCCTGGGCACTGGACACACCGCCAGCTCTCTGGAGGCCTAGTTCTAGGGTTGCCACATAAAATACAGAGCATTTAGGTAAATCTGGATTTCAAATAAACAATGGAGTTTTTAAAAGTGTAATTAAGTCTCAAATATTACATGGAATATACTTAAAGAGTATCCATAATTCATCTGAAATTTAAATTTGACTGACCACCCTATATTTTTATTTGCTAAATCTGTTAGCCCTGCTGAAAGGGGGGATAACATGGAAGCTATCTCATGGGGTTTTGCAAGTATTAGCTGAGATAATACATCCCTTTCTGTGTTCCCAGCCACGGAGATCACTTAGCATTGTGACAACGTCTAAGCAACTCGCCACGAGAAAAGGGAGGACGGGATAAAGGGAGGGAAAGAGAGACAGGGGCAAAAGAGAAGAGAGAGAAAGGCAGAAAGACAAAGACAGACAAAAACTGAGGAACAGAGGGTGACAACAGAATACAGACAAAGACAGAGAGAGACAGGCGCAGGGGGGCCCGCGGCCCGCCGCGTACCAGCAGCTCCTCCTGCAGCTGCAGATTCAGCGAGCACACGTATAACTGAAGGGACTTCAGCGCCAGCAGGCCGGACGGCACAGGGACTCTGAAAACTTCGTTGAACACCAGTGGCGCCTGGAATTCCAGAGCTTTGGAGCAGTAGGTGCTGGGCGTGCCCGAGTCCAGCGGGGGCAGGTAGACGCGGACGTGGCTGGAAGCAGGAGGAGGAGGGAAGACAGGCAGCGCTCCCTGGGGGAGCACAGACCCGCGCACTTGCCCTCTTCGGTGCCCGTGGGCAGAGTTTCAAAACCCTTTGGAGAAAGCTCCTTTCCCGACCAAGTGTAAGCCCAGAGAACTGGTGTGCCCTGGAGACAGGTGGCAATCGCCCGCAGAGAGACAGACGTCGCAGGCAGGACTGAAGGCAGCGGCGGAGGGCAAGAGCCCCTGGGCTCTCTGCACAGCCCCCCTGCTGGGGCACCTTGTGTTTCCCCGCCCTTTCGGCCCCAGCCTGGAACTCGCCCAGGAAGGCTCAGACATTTGTGAGCTGTGCAAAGGTACCAGCAGGCCGAGCCGAATCCCAGGACGGTCCTCAGCCGCTTACACCGGGACCTCCCAAGGCCTGTAGAAGACTAGTTTGCAGAGAAGACGCCCGGAAGGGGGCCCACTCTGGGATCTGAACGGGCCATTACAGGTGTGGTCACCCGCCTGGGTAAGTGGGACCCTCTGTCAGGCACCTATCTGGGGCCATGAAGCCCAGAAAGGTAGCGATCCCACTACCAAGGCCAAAGTCACCAGGTGACCCCAACTGGTCCCACCATATATTTCCTTTTCCTTCTCCTCCCGTCAGCTGAGCACTCCCAGAGCCCAGCCAGACTCCGCTCAGCGCACATCAGGACCACAGGGCCGGGTGTGGCTGCATCATCGCCACCCACTGCTGGGACCAAGGAGGACATTTTCGGCCCAAGTACTGCCAATGACGGGTAGGGACTTCCTTAGCGTTGACGGCATAGCACTAGCCTGATTCCGTCACCTTCGCCTGCCTCAAATATTAACCAGACCCTTTTACAAACAGACAATCCTCCATACCTCAGGTAGACATTTATCCTGGTGTCTTACTGTAAACTCAGGTGCCCCGAGCGCCCCCTCCCTCCCCTCCCGGCACCGCGCGGGAGGCCGTGCCAGGCCCGGGGTGTCGCTCACACTTTGCAGTCCTCCTTCACCGCCAGCCCCGCGGGGCTCTTCAGCTGCAGCACGTGCACGAGGAGACACTCGCTGGCGCCGTCGTGCCTGGGAAACCGACCATGAGTTCACGGACACTGTGGTGGCCGTCAACTGAGGGGGATTTGTCCCGCCCTACCCCAGGGGACATCTGCAACATCTGGAGACATTTTTTATCGTCACAAGTGGAGGGGGTACTGCTGGCATCTAGGGGGTGGAGGTCAGGGACGCTCTCATAACAAAGACTGATGGATCTGGCCCCACATGTCAGCCGCGCCCAGGTGAGAGACCCGGGCTGCAGAAACGGGAGAGGGAGAAGGAGCTGCTGGCACCCGCACACCGCCCCGCCGGCAGGAGCGCCGCGGTCGCTGCCTTTCTTGAAACTGCGATCCGAAACCGAACAGTGCTATGCTGCAAGCCACCGGGTTATCTGCTCTGGGGATGAGGGAAGGACCTCGCTAGCTATGCTGCAGCGAAAGAATCAACTGCTCATGGGAGTGCGCGAAAACGTCCCCAGGCCTTTCCGGACCACCTGTGTTACTGCTCTGACCCCCCCCCCAGTCCCCCGAGGTGACAGCTCCCAGCTGTGAATCTCAGCGTCAAAAGACAGCAATGGAGCCACTGTCCCATCACTCCTTCCCGCCACCTCTGTGCCCTCATCTGAGGCCTGGGTTGGGGCATCAAGGTGGGGGGAGCAGCAACCAGGTGACGTGGGTCCCCCTGTCGCCGGGCCTGTGTGCAGAGGTGTGAACCACTGCGTGAGCCCCCATCTACGGACCATCTGTCAGAACAACAAGGAAGGAGTCTTCGGTACTCACAGGACACCCACGTGGATCTGGGGGTCTTCGTTACCGCACGTGTCCCCAGCGGCGCACTCCTCGGCATCTTCACTCCTGGCACAATCGGAAACCCCCCGGCTCGGTTGCACAGGGAACTGATTACCACGGGTCATGTAGAAGCGCTCTCGTCTTAAGAGAGAGCTTTGTTAAAATGCAACATAAATAAATAAAGACGTAAAGTGGCTGAAAGGACATGGCAGGTCCCCGGATCCATGGGGGTGTCTCACTGGGTACCTGCCTACAAGCTGGTGTTTTTTTTGTTTTTTTGTTTTAAGAAAATAACTTTGGGCTGGGCGTGGTGGCTCACGCCTGTAGTCCCAACTACTGGGGAGGCTGAGGCAGGAGGATTGCTTGAGCCCAGGAGTCTGAGGTTGCAGTGAGCTAGGATCTCACCACTGTATTCCAGCCTGGGTGACAGAGCAAGACCCTATCTGTTACAAAAAAAAAAAAAGAAAGAAAATAACTTCATATACCTTTCAAAACCACATGTGATATTCAGGAAAACGTTTAACAATTAACTTTTAAAACGTTTGCAGTAAGTGAAATGTCCAAACAAAATAAAGCACAGAATTCCAAAAAGTGTCTTCGTTGCAAAGTGATTCCTATATCTAAGGAAAGAAGGGGCGGAAGGGAGTTCATTTCTAGCGAATGTCCTTTCCAGAACAGCGGGTCTCTCCCATACATTGATTCACCTTGTTCAGCTCTGTCTTTTTTGGGGCCAGGGAGAAAGAAGTTGTCGTAGAACTGTGGCCTCCAAATGCCACATAGAAGCTAGAGGGGTTTGCTTTGCAGGTCTCTAAGGCCCAACCTCCCAAAGTTGAAAGAAGGTAGAAAAATGTTCTACCCCTGGATATAGAAACAGTTTCGATACATAAAAGTTTCAGTATGGACCCTTTTTGCGCTTGACAGTAACATTGCGCTAAGTCCGTGCCGGGGGGGGAGGAAACAACAAAATCAGCTTCTAACCTCTTGGTTAGGGGTTCAAACACCCCACTGTCGCTGGCCAGCGAGTAATCCGACAGGCATGCAGACACGCGGCGCGCTCTCCTCTCCAGCCTCTTGGCACTGTCTTCTCGAAGAGTCACTGCTGCAAACAAGGGACGTACCCAAGGTCAGGAGATTATGGCATGGGGGACCAGGGACCTCTAAGTTAGAGCACATACTAAGTCACTAAGTGTTCCTGTGACACACCACAATGTGTACATACATATAAACACCCTGCACTCAACTTTCTTTTTTTTAATATTGAAAAATTGGAGAGATAGATTTCTGGCTACGTTAAGAGCTTTCGAACTGTCTGGAAAGACACCCGGATGCATAAATCTCTTTCTACCCCCCCCCCCAATGAGCACAGAGAACGAAGACAATGGTGAGATGCCCATCTGAATGCACTGCGAGAAGGGCTCTCACGCCAGCCCAGATGGGGACACGCACCATGCTTGCCGAGCGGTGGCATTTCTTACTCCTTTCTTTATGCTGCTTGGCGTTTTCCATGTTTATGCAATAAAAGACTGCTTTTACAACCAGGGAAAAAATTTAATTTCCCAAATAAGGCCTAACAAAATTTAATGACCTTCAAAAGAGAGGACACAGTTGGACTCAGACTCATCCTTCAAAAACACATCCCCAGAGATCTGTGGCCCTCAGGGGAGGACGCAGGACTCAGACTGGCTGTCTCAGTAACTGCAGTTTCCTCCCCGGGTCCCTGGGGCCAGATTTGCTTCTGGAACTGGCTTCCTGGGAGAGGAGGCACTACCACTGGGCAGCTTAGTGTCATGTTTAACATCTATTTTAGTCAACGGCCAAAGACAACCACTGAGATTTTCCCTTTTAACGTTTCATCAGCTGTTTCTACCCCTTACCTCACAGCAGTAAGTTCCTTTTAACAAAACCAATGGAAATGGGCACGTGATCTTTCTACAGTAAATGTGGACGTGTGCACAGAAGTCTTAGCGTTTCATAGAGGGGCACGCTCATTAGAACACAGACTAAGACAGGAAGTGCCAAGCTGGCGCCGCCCTGCCAAAACCGTTAACGACGCAGGTCCCTCTGTGGTCACTGCACTTCTCTCGGGCTATCTAAGCTCCATGAATTCAAAGTCTTGACATCTGTACATTCCCAAGTTGAAGGAAATGGTGAGTCCATGGATGACCACCCTTCTTTTCCACCAAGTTATCACTCACGACAAGTAAACACAAACACGTTAAACAGTGCACAAAACAGGGCCATGGCCACTGGTCTCACGATGTCACCTAGAGACAAGAGTCAGCAATGGCAGCATGGGGGCGTTACCTACTTCTCTCCTGTCACCCCGGAATGGAAGTGAGCTCCCTCCTCTGGCTCTCATTGTAGGCCGGGACTCCCGAGTCCAGCCCTCCTCTGCCTCCCTGCCACGGGGAGGGACCCCAAACCCCCGGCCCTGAACTGCAAATGGAACCTGCCAGTCTGCTGACTCAATGCCCAGCAAACAAAACCAACCGCTCCTTCCATTGCACATCCTGACCCCTGACACAGTGCCCCTCCAGCTAACCCAACCTGACGGTGTAATTCTGACCACACTTCCCTCTTGCCTTTACAACGGAAGTCAATGAAGAGAGAAAATTAACGAACAAATCCTTATGGAGCCCAGGCTGAGGCACCGAGTTCACAGGGCAGCCAGAAGCTGGAGCTGCCAAGAGCAAGCAGTGCCCTGGGGAGAAGGAAGCACGTGAAGACCCCACACCACACACCCCCGAGTCTGCTCTTGGGCTCCAAGGCAATGGGGTTGACGATGGGGACAAATGCTAAGGAAACAAGGCATAAAAAATCTTCCAGTGTTCATTAAAAAAATCCCTGAGCTACTCATCATTACAGACAGACACTGAGACCCAAGAACACCAACACTGATAAAAACGAAAAAAGTACGATGAAAACCACATCGTGGACAAAGCCGGAAGCCGGCATATTAAAATAACAAACACCATTACATTCTGGAAACAAACATACAGAGAGAGTAAGTAGTTAAAGTTCTACACAACTTTAGCAGTCATCGTGAATATTAATGTCGAAGTAATGATAATAATGACGACAAGTTACATGAAAGTGAAGCTATATGATACACCCTCCTTGGCCACACTCCAGCCATCCTAAACACATCAATTCACTGCACAAAGATGTCCCCACAGCTGGAGCAACAAAGGTGAATGAGGGAATTCCAAGGCCACTTACAGTGAACGTTTCTGTCGAGCCGCATGAAAAGAGATTAAAAAAAAAAAAAGCACAAAGTGAGAAAACTGTACAATTTAAGCCAGTGGTTTTTAACAGAGTATGAATATAATAAAAATATCAATAAATAGATGAGCAAAGTCAAGATTTTTATGGATTCTGATTAGCAAATACTAATGGGTAGATGAAAATGGGAAAGTCTTCCAAAATCATAACACATCTGACTTACAATCCAAGGAAGACAAAGCTAGTAAAAATGTAAATCGTGTTCCAGGTCACCGCACATTGCCTACCTCTGTCCTGCCTTCTGGCCCCTCTGACTGATTTAAACCTCAGTGGAAGAAATCGTTCAGAGCTTGCTTTGCAGGTTTGGGTGATTCTGAGTTTTATCTTACTAAAACTTGCTTGGGGCTCAGCTTAGCCTGCACTGCTTCCAACATGACTGATAAATAACTGGGTGGGGTAGTACGATGGGTACCAAGATCTAACTTTATGAAGCTACCATGACCCTGGGCCCAGGAGTTCCCACAAGCATCAAGAGAGGCAAGGAGCCCCCTGTGTCCATGCCTGAAGCTGGTTACTCAACCCAGCCCTCTGGAAGCACCCAACAAGACCCATTAACTGGGTCAATTATTTCAGTTTCTAAGGATAAAACTCATTGTGTCCTTAGAACAATGTCTTACAGGAATCCACCACCAGGCGGCAGTGTTATTTAAAAACTCCACTACAAGTGTAATATAAGAATCCACCACCAGATGGCAGTGCAAGACAAGAATTCGTCACACGTGTAATAATAAGAAACGACCACCAGATGGCAGTGCAAGACAAGAATTCGTCACACGTGTAATAATAAGAAACGACCACCAGATGGCAGTGCAAGACAAGAATTCACCACACGTGCAATAATACAAACTGACCACCAGATGGCAGTCTAACACAAGAAATGACCACAGGTGTCATATAAGAATCCACCACCAGATGGCAGTGCAACACAAGAATTCACCAGCAGCAGTATATAAAAATTCACCACTGAATGGCAGTGACACACAAGAATTCGCCACCAATGTGATACAAATATCCACTTTGCTGGTGACAGTGTCTAAACGTTGTGCATACAAATATGCCCCAGTCTAAGAAGTTTGAACCAATAACGTCTGCCACAAAGTGGGAAGGAAAGATAAAGAAATCAGGGTAAGAAATTAAGTTTGCTCTTCTCCCTTCCACCCTGCTTCTCCCCTGGCCCAAAGGGGCCCTTGGGCCTTGTATGGATTTTACGTATAACCAGACTCATATTCTTAAATCTCATCCTTTAAAGAGAAGCTGCTGATGGGAAGAGGAGGGAGACTAAGAGAAAAGTTAAGCTTAAGCAATGACAGATGTGCAGTTCGGTCCTTAGTACGTATTTTCTTTTTTGAATGAAAGGAACGAACATAGAGCAATGACCCTATGATTATAAAGAACAAAGCCAATGAAGGTTACCTGTATATGAGAATTACAGAAACAATGTACATGGGGATACCAAAACGCGCTTGCAAACACAGAGAAAAAGACGCTAAAGTAATAGAGATGCCACAAAGCCATGGGGCAGCCCCAGAGCATACTGGCCTCTGTGAGTGCTAACAGACTACTATTTCACAGATGGGGCGATCACAGATCAATCAGCCTGTCCCTCAATCTATTAATCGATCTATCTCATGGGTAACAGAACAATGGCGAATGGAAGAGACCATAATGATCACCTCGTTTAAGGGCAGGGAAGGTGAGACTCGGCCAAGTCCAGGGATATGCACAGCTAGCAGTTGACAGGGCAGGGGACAGAATCTTGGCCTCTAAGCTACTAGTCTGAAGGTGTTTCCACTACACGACACCACACTAGTTTTATTGCTACCCTTGGCTGCATAAATACTCAGCAGTATGTCAGGGTTTCTCGGCCTCAGCACCATTGACATTTTGTGGGGCTGTCCTGTGTACAGCAGAATGCTCGGCAGCATCCCTGGCCCCTGCTCGCTAGATGCTTGTAGCAACCCCTCTTCCCCCAGCTGTGACAACCAAAAATGTCTCCAGGCACTACCAAGTGCCCTCCCCCACCCTGGGGCAGGAGGCAAAAACACTCCTGGTTGAGATCCACTGTATCAGCCAGGATCTACACAAATTATCTAGTGTTTGCCCAAATGGGATGTCTAAAACATTTTTGCTGTGCAAATAGAAGTTGATTAAATGATCTGAACTTCAGGAATGGGAGACCTTGTTCTTGATCCTCTCTAAAACTGAAGGAAGTTAAAGTTGCCAGGGGCTGGCGTGAAAAAGCACACAGGGTCACTGTTCTCTCCAACAGTAGTTTGGTTTTCTAAGCGGGCTATTAGCTGAAAGACTCTGGCATCAATCAAGGAGGGGCCCAATTAACACCAACCAAGTGAAGCTCCATGCAGCCACATGTTCCTCGATTTGCAGACTCCCAGAGAAATCGATCTGCTAGACATGACCAGTGCTCACAGGCACAGCTCTTGAAATTACACAATTACTTTTACTTCCGCATTTGAAAGGATGACATCCTTAAAAACTATGAGGGGTGGGGCGCAGTGGCTCACACCTATAATCCCGGAACTTTGTGAGGCTGAGGCGGGAGGATCACTTGAGGCCAGGAGTTTGAGACCAGCCTGGGCAACATAGCAAGACCCATTTTTACAAAAAACTAGAAAAATTAGCCAGGTGTGGTGGCACGCACCTGTAGTCCCAGGTATGTGGGAGGCTGAGACAGGAAAGATGGCTTGAGCCTAGGAGTTTGAGGTTGCTGTGAGCTATAGTGATGGCACTGCACTCCAGCCTGGATGACAGAGCAAGACCCTGTCTCAAAAATTTAAAAAAAAAAAATTCTGAGGACAAAAAAATTAAGAGATGAAGTCAAAGGGACAAATGAAATAGAGATTTCTACTGGGCTTCAACCAGAACCAGTCCAGTGCTGGTCTTAGGCAGGCACACACAGAATGTTCCACGTTGGCACACAGCCTGCAGAGTTCATTAAGGCCCTAATACATCTTCATCAGCCTCTGAATGTGGAGGACCGTGTGGGTCTTACCCTGGTTTTCAACAATTAAGTACATTCTAAAAACCAGCCAAATTCCCAGAAAAGACCACTTTGCGTATTTCAATTGTCTTTCCCCAACACAGATTGCAAAGACTAGAGCAGGTGTATTTCCTTTTCCTAATCCTATGAAATATTCCTACATTTAAAGCTCACTATGTACCTGAAAAGCCAGCCAGCCTCAACGCGGTTGCCCACAATTTCTCCTTCCCTGGGTCGAAAGCTGCCTTCCCAGGACGGTCTATTAACACTTACTTCCACCCACGGGAGCCCCGGCCAATTGGGGTCCTCGCTCATGCGGTCCTTCCCCGTCCCCAGGGAATCCGTGTGGCTGAAGAGACACCGTGGCCTGCGAATCTTCGTCCCCCAAAGCGGAGGCCTGAGCCCGCAGTCTGTCCAGGGCACCCAGGCCTGGCACCTCAAAGCCATCCGCCAGCTGCGCCAGAGGCGAGTCCCGCGAGGCCGGGAGGAAGGGCGTGTCCAAGGGCGAGCTCGGGGGCGACAGAGAGGACAGGGAGGAGCGGGAGGACAGCGACGCCAGGGACTGGGGCGTGTCCAGCGACCGCCTCTGCCTGTGGAAGCCCGGGTGGCCCGGGGGGTCTGCGAAGGGGGCGTCCCGTCCCAGGCAGTCGAAGGGGACGAGGTCGAAGCGCAGGAGCTGGCCGCACTCGGCGTCGGCCTTCTCGTACTGCGGGAGGCCGTAGATGTCGGTGAAGCTGATGGAGCTCAGGGACCCGCGGCTGGAGGTGAGCGAGCCTCGGCTGGAGGCCAGGGACCCACGGCTGCTCCCCGAGGACACCGTCAGGGTGCTGGCGGACAGGCTGAAACGACAGAGCGCCGCGGTCTCAGAGACGCGGCGGGCAGCGCGCTGGCCGCGGGGCGTCTGCAGGGCCTTCGGCGGGACTTCTCTGCTGCTTGTGAGTGGCGGGACAGGGCAGAGGGCGACAGCAAAGGCTGGAGCCTGAGCTCGAGTCCCAGGTCAAACGCACGCTAGCTGGGCACAGGGGGCACACTTGCTCGGGTTACTCAGCCTGAGCCCCCCTGCCCCGGGGACTGCACCGGTAACAGTCGCCCCCTGGCCGCACTGTCGGGGGGAGTAACTGAGAAAACACCACAGACAAAGCCCTGACGCTGCGCTTCCCACCGCAGTGAGCACTTGAACACGGAGCCATTCCGGAGCACCCAGATCTTATCTTAAAATTATTCATGTCCTTAAAAAAAAAAACCCAAAATAAAAATGTGGACGTGCCTATATGCACCCTCCTGAAGCTATCGATTGGATTACGCAATCCTTGCATAAATCTGACTTCGCACTGGTTACTTATCCTGACGCCAAAGTGGGTGCTCCTCATGTTCCCCGACTGTCGCGTCAGCATCTTAAAAATCTGTGTCCACTTTTCCATTCTGCATTTAACGCCACTTCAGCTTCCACATTCCAGCAGAGAAAATCCGAGCTAAAAAGAACTCTGCAGTTCACGCACGTGGCACCGCAACACGATAATCAAGTACAGTTTTCTCCTTTAAGAGAACCCACCTCTTTAACTGGGACTGGAGATAGGATGTTAGGCGGGTGGCTTCCTCCAGCTGCATGAGTAGACAATTTCTCTTTTCCTGAAGTAGAATCCTGTAGGAAAGAAAACAGCCAATAAGTGGATTGGAAAGACAGGGAGTATATTTTCATAACAAGGCATTCGACTATAAATTCCCCACAATTGATTTAGGTTGGCGTGACTATCAATTCTAAAAGCACCTAGGTCCTAAGTGCCAAGATAACAGACTGACTGTGTCCTATTCGAAAAATACACCCGGGCACCCTGACCAGTGCCTGCCACGCTGTGGAAGCTCGATCCGCCGGTGCCCGGGGGAGCGGGCGGGTGGCTGAACCACGGCAGACAGGCGGATAGACGGATGAGTACGTGCACGGGGGGAGGCTGGGCGGGGTGGAAGAACAGATGACTGGCCTAGAAGACAGGTTCGAACGCAGAGCATGTAGGAATTCCTCAGAACAAGTCAGATTCCCTCATCCTTGGCCCCCTTCTAGGCAAAAATAAATGTAATTCCAAAATCTATAGAATTAAAAGATTAGAAGCAAAGAAAACAGCAATTGTGGCTGTCTCTAGGTCATGGGGTTGGAAATAACTTTTTTCCTTCCTTTTACTTTTTTCTACTTCATAATTTTCTCGGACAAATTTTTTGCCCCACTACATTAAGCCCATCACCTAGAATAGAGCCCAATAGGTACAGGCATACTTAATAAACAGTTGCAGAGTGAGCGCAAGAATGGATACATTTGCCTCTAGAAGAAAACACTCCTCACTTACAAATCAGAACAATGGCATCGTGACATGTGGCCACAGTAGGTACCCTTAAAACATTGCTCTTTCCACCAACAGGGAGGGGGACGTGCAAGAGTTTGAGAGAGCTTGGTCAGGGTTGGAGTGAGAGGAAACCAGAAACGGACAGGAGATGACGGCAGCCTGGGATTCAGAGAATCCCACTTTGCCACCCACTCACAAGCTGTGTGGCCTTGGGCCAACGTCTTGCCTTCTCTGAGCCCTTAGTTTCATTACCTGTAAAAATGGAGTCCACAATCTCTAGCTCAGAGAACTGATGCCGCACAAATAGTGTATGGTGAATGACAAGTGATGGACAGACAGCAGCCTTCACCAGTAATGGAAACGCACACACCAACAGCTTCTACTCCACTGAACATCGGTGTCACTAGAGCCACTACCCAACCCACTTTAAAGTCGAATACAATATATTAAAACTGATGGCTTTCAAAGTGTGGCCCAAAGACTCCCGGGGATCCCTGAGACTCTTTCGGGGCTCCTGTGAGGGCCCGCCTTTGCCAGCCACACAGCGGTAGGCAGCCGGCTCTTCACACATTCACCCCAAATGGCCTATCGCGATAGCTGAGTGCCCAGGCGCTGCTTTCTAGGAAGCCAGCCGCTGAAGAGATTAATAGAAATGTAAAATAATACCACTCTTCTCACTAGTTTTTTGTTTCGAAAAAGTTATCAGTCATAAAAATGCTATTAACGCATCATGGGGCTTTATTGTTATCTTTAACAAACAAATATTTTAGAAATTTCTCAGTGCTACTTCCTAAATCGGTAAATATTGACAGATAAAAATCCACATAAACAAAAGCTCTTTGGGGCCCTTGGTAATTTCGGCTCTGGAAGGAGGTCCTGAGACTCAAAAAAGTTCAAGAACAGCTATAATAAAGTTTAATGAGTAGAATGTTTTAAGATTCTACTTACCTATAATATTTTAATTTTTAAGAGAAATATTTTAACTTATGGCGTATACAGATGAAAATAACTTTTAAAAAGCAATTGTGTTCCATTGAGCGGATTTTTGTATGTCATCCCAGAGGAGAGGTGTGAGCTTATAAAAGCATAGTGCTATGGGGTGCTTACAAAATGCCAGCCGCTCTGCACGCGCCAGCTCATCTCCTACTGCTCATCTGATTCCATCCCTGCTTTACAGATGGGGAAAATGGCACTCAAGGAGCTAAAGAACCTTGCCTCAGCGATGCAAGTTCAAAGCTTGGCCAAGTTGGCTTGAACCCAAAGCCGAGCCAGGTTACCAAGACACTGCACTGCCCCACCGCCGCCTGCTGTGCGATTCTGTTGTTAGCACGTGCGCAATGAGGGGCTTCCTAAAGCCCTCTCAGTATTGCGCTCTCACAACCAAAGGGACACTATCAGGTCACAGAGGATTCCAGGGGCAGGGATGACACCAACAGAGCACAACGTCCTACTGCAAACAGCAACCAGCCCCAGAAAGCAATTTGTTGTAGGGAATTTGCCCAAGCTTGGTATGAGCCTAATTCTTTTCTTAATGCTTTTTCATAAATTTCAACCCAATCTGAATTCTATTAGCTCAAATCCCAAATTAATGGAATCTAAATCGAATTGAGTTCTTAGTGAAAACTGGCTCCACTCTTGAGTGACCAGGGTCGGATTTCCAGCCCATTACTGAATCTGTCCATGCATTCCATCTCTCTCCATTTCCATATATATTACATGGAGACACAATTACATGTATGGCACAATTTTAGATTGTCTTTAATCATGACTTATTTTCAGATTTTTTATCCGCAGTGAAAATTGGTTTAGATCAAATTCCCTACTTCTATCCAATATGTCACACTTGTCATTGTACTGAACAGGTGCATTTCAGAGCAAGCGAGCGCGAGAGAGCATGCTTGCATACGAGACCGCGTGCGAGCGCCCACGAGTGACCACATGCACAGTCTAATTTTACGCTGGTTATTCTGAAAGTTGCAGATGACTAAAAATGTAGTGTCCTTACCAAATAGGGGTGTGAGCATGTACATTAGCTGTGCTGTCAATAACTGAGACACCTAAAAACTGGGGCATAAACTGCTAAAACAGGAGTCTTAAATATTTGTCTTATTTTGTACACATTTTTCCAACTAAAAAGAAAAGGGGATACAGTTTCCTAGCAGAAAACTGGCCAGGGCTCAACCCCAAAAGTAGACAGCCTCATGCCTCCACATCAAAGGAGATGAACTTCAAAGAATATTAAGAACCAGTGCTATGAAGAAGAGTATAAAAATAACCTAACAGATTAAGAAAATATAGATTCTAATTTACTGTCTTTATTTCCTTTAGATAAAGTACTTTATTGTAAAGATGTCACTAAATTGTGACTGAAAGGAAAATGTGACTCCAGTTTTAACAAAATTCAAATTTCTGCTTTTTGATAGACCTTTCATTTTCACAATCAGCCTTATACTTAAAGTTATTTGTCATTGGAGAGAGAGAACGTCTCAGGATGGCATCTCACAATAGAGCCCTGGCGTTCTCTGCTGAACTTCAGCATCTTGCATAAATGCCTGCCACACCCTAACTCCAGCAAGCTAAATAACAAAGGATGTTATTTGTTGAGTCTCCACAGAAGCCGTCTGAAAGATCACCGAGGGCATTAGTCCCTTCCTGCTTCCACATCTCCGGGAGATGTGCAGGAGCTCCCTCCAAAAATGCCAGCCAGAGCAGGGGCCATGCCTGCTATGTGTCATCGGCCACTGGCAGGAGGCTTGACGAGGATCTGCATCTCTCCAACCCCCTAGTGACACGCACTATCCAGCTCGAACTTGCCATTTGACAGTGATGACACCGAAGCTGAGATGGGCAAAGATGGCCCTGGTCGTACAACTGGTACATCTCAGCCTTAAGATGCCAACCTCGGTCCCTTCCTGCCCAGCTCACACTGGATCTCCTTCTAATGCCCCCAGCATGTGCCGGAGGAAGCCTCCTACCGTGTGGTCCCACGCTTCCAATCTTCAAGCACACCTCAAATGAAGGGAGGTGACATGGAGAAATGGGCCCTGCATCCACCTGGCCCAAGAAGTCGAGAGCTGCAGGAGCCCCACCTCCTTGCAATGCAGTGGAGGTCACACACAGAGACGCTCACAGGAGCAAAGTGTTATACTCGGCATGAAAGTGCTTAGCATATGTGTATGCTCCCCCTTGGCCAAGGTCATTTAGTGGCAGATTCAGCAAACACACCTGGGTCAATTTGGTCCCGTTGAGGGCTGAGTGCCAGGACTTAGCACCTGGGCTGGTCCCATAAGAGACCCGTCTGGGTCACAGCTGATCCAGCTTTGGTGTCCCAGCCCTTGAACCCAGGCATCAGGGTACCCTGGCTCTGCGGAGTCCTGCGGATTTGTCCCTTGGGACCACAGTACTCGTGCATGTTGGGCAGCCAGTCACAGAGCGTGTGTATGGGGTCCTGAGGATCAGGCGGCATTTGTGGGACGAAATCCACCCCCTTAACTGAGAACCAACAGAACTCTCAGGCCCTCCTTTGCAGAACATACACGCGAGAACATCAAGGACAAAACAGAAGATAATGTTTAACTAAAAAAAAATACAAATGCACAAGAGCACAGAAGAAAACTTTAGTTGATAATCCCTTTCCAGACTCAGAATCAACTCTTGGTTGAGAGGACAGGGCATGCCGTCATCTCAGGCAAAATCAAATCCACTCCTCTCTGAACACCATGGCATCCCCCCACCAAGGCTGCTATGAGCCCCTCATGCCAAGCCACACTCGTCTACCATAAAGATGACCAATGAGGCCAGGTGCAGTGGCTCACTCCTGTTAATCCTAGCACTCTGGGAGGCCAAGACAGGAGGATGGCTTGAAGCTAGGAGTTCAAGACCAGCCTGAGCAAGAGCAAGACCCTATCTCTTTAAAAAATATTAATAGAAAAATTTGCCGGGCATTGTGGCACATGCTTCGACTCCCAGCTACTTGGGAGGCTGAGGCAGGAGGATCGCTTGAGCCCGGGAGTTTGAGGTTGTGGTGAGTGAGCTATGATGACACCATGGCACTTGAGCCTGGGCGACAGAGTGAGACCCTGTCTCAAAAAAAAAAAAAAAAAAAATCAAAAAACAAAGACAACCAATGGATATCCAAGAGTAAAGAATACCCAGCAGATATAGAGAACGGTCATAAGATGTGACGAAATACTAGTTATAGGAGCATCTGAACAGAGGACATCATTCGGGTGTCCCTTACGCTGTATGTAGAGAATGCTCGCCCACAGCCAGCTTAGGATCAGGTTAACACACTGAACTTGAGGGAGCCAGTGCACTAACACATGGGGTCCCCCAAGCCTAGCAGCTATCCACAGATAACCTTCGTCAGCTGTTACGTGTGGACAGCAGACCCAGCCTTTGACACGATCTGAGATCCCGCTCCGCAAATGGAAACGAGGAGACGTGGCACACGATGAAAGGCTGAACGACTCGGTGCTGAAGAATACAAAAGACACCATGCTGGCTTCGAATGCCCTGAGCAGTGAAAGAGCCTCAAGACCAAAGAAAAAGACCCACACCGGGCTGCCGACTTCCTACTGCAGAGGAAAGAGCAGGCTATCCTGACTGGCAATCAAACTCGGAGATAAAAGCAGTAGGTAGGCATCCCGAACGCCGCCATGTCAGCAACAGGGACTTGTTTCCCAGGCAGCAGAGCCCGTGGTGCAGCACCGCAGCACCGCCTGCCTCCCACCTTCTGCTGGCCGCCCAGCCTGGTCAGGGCAAAGCACCCAACACCTGCAATGCCAAGGGTGGGCCGCAGGCCGGGGTGGCCGATCTTCCCTGCTCCTTCCCCCTTTTCCATCATCTCTCACTTCGGGGCAGGCACCTGGAGCCTGCAGCTGTGGGGAGCTGCTGGCCCCCTGGGGCGGGGGTGGGGTGGGGCAGTGCTCTGGCCTCCCACCCAGCCTCTACGTGGCAAGGGGCTGCCCCAGGCAGTGGCTGCGCTGAGTAATAATCCAGATCCTCCTCAGGCCCCACTCGGCCCATCCGGCGAGCCCGCCCACCTACCTCTCGGTGGCGCCCTGCGCGGAGGTGGCCCGCGCGCGCTGCAGCTCCTCCTCCAGCCGCCTGCGCTCCTGCTCCAGCCGCGCCACGTCCTCCGCCGGCCGCCGCTGCTGGATGATGAGCTGCAGCTCCTGCAGCAGGGCCTCCTTCTCCTTGATGAGCTGCAGCCGGTCCCGGTCGGCCTCGGCCATGCCGGGCCAGGACTCGTTTTCGAGCTGGGCCAGCTGCTGCTGGATGTTCGAAACTCTGCAGGAGAGAGACAGACGGGAAAATCAACGGACTGAGAAAGCCGTCCTCACACTGTCGCACCGTCACACTGATTCTGTAAACTCACTCTGCTGAATAGCGAAGGGACTGCACCAAGTGAACCTTACACTTAAAAGGATTTGGGAACGATGGGTCGTAAAAGTGGTGCATAAGTCCTTTGCGAACCTCCCTCATCCTGAGATTCAGGTGATGATAACCATATCATGCGTGTTTCAAAGAACTGACAAAAAGCCTAGCGGCCCTCAGCGTGCCCATGCCCTGTGCTGCTCAATCCCGGTTTCCCCCTACACTGTCCGGGAGCAGGAGGAGCTGGCTCATTTCCCCTGCCCACTCCCATCAGTGCTAAACACTGTGCTCGGCCCTCGGAGATACTGTCAGCTTCTGCCTCCTTGGCTGTGCCTAACCGCTGAAAGTAGCCTTGAGAAAATAACGAGACAAATACATCCAGCAACTGGGCTTCTGAAGAGAAAGCCTCTGAAACCCAATGCTCCATGCCTTCTGATTCTGTGCGCTCCTTCCTGCACCAGAGACCCTGGCCGAGCATGAATGCAGGACGCCCTGCGGAGAGCAGGCACTCAACAAAAGCTGAGTGACTGAACAGTGACTCCTGCGAATGTATGAGGACGAGAGGCAGCCCCCTGAGCGTGGATGTTGGGGTGAGATATCCCAGGCAGATGCAAACCAGTCAACCTCGCCAAACGTATCGGCACACCAATCCTCAAGGTGGAAAAACGGAGACTCTTGTCAGTTTCCACGCCCCTAAATTTCCCAGTGCTTGCCTGGCAAACGGACTGCATCACTTTTTGTGTCCTGAGGTGTTGCTGAATGCAGATTAAGTGAAACGGATGTGGCTTGTATTTTTAAAGCATCCTTTAAAAATAGTAGTAGAATGGTTTTAGCCCTGTAAGTAGGTTAAAGATGAGGGATATCTGTTTCCAGGCAGAAACTAGGAATGCCAGACTTGACCTGAACCCAACAATGTGTAGGACAGACTTTGGCACACAGGCCCAAAAACAAAATCCAAAGACTTGTCTGAGATCACAGAGAGCTGTGAGAGCAGGGAAGCGGCAGGCACGCATATCCCTATAGCCCCTAAGGTAGCAGTCCTCACAGTGGGGTCCCCAGACCAGCAGTCTCAGTAACCCCTGGGAGCTTGTTACAAATGCAAGTCTCAGGTCCCACGCTAGACCTGCTGAATCCAACACTCTGAGGATAGGGTCCAGCAATCTGGGTTGTGACAAGCCCTCCAGGTGCCAGGTGCTTCTGATGCTGGCTCATGTTGGACACCCACTGCCCTCAGACAGAGCTGCCTGCCCTGCAGCCTGGCCTGGTGGTTACTAACTGGCCTTGGAGTTCTTAGGGGTTTGCACGGGGCACCGATACGATGCTCTTCACTACGACAGGCATGGCAGCTGCAGGGCCAGAGTGCTCTTGAGATGCCCCCTCCTGTGCCCAGGTGCATGGCACTAATAAAGGCTGGCTTCCTGCCTGCAGGCTCCTCAGAATCCTTCTCAACACTGCTCCACGTGGATACCCCCAATTGACTAGCGTTGCCACATGTTAAAACCTGATGCCCAGCCCTGCGCCAAGTCAGGTTCCACCTGAACTAGACATGAGCACAGGGATTTATCCACCTGGCTGGAGGGCTGGGCACAACTCCTTCTGCAGGTTATTGAACCAATCTGAAAACCCAGAGTTATGAAAAGAAAAAGGTATATAAGTTATAGTTTAAATGTATGCATTTTATTCAAGTCCCATTCTCCAAGAAGGTAAAGAAACTAGTTGAATGTCAGTAGCCTTATTAGACAAGTTCTTTGCTAACTTAAAACTAATTTCCGGGAAATGTGTTGGAAAATGGTGCCAAATCATGTCACTGAAAAAACTAATGACACAGGCAGCTGAACAGGGTTAGGAATCCAACTGGGCTTAGGCGTCCACCTATGTCTAATTAGTGTAATTAAAATTTATGGCAGTCATATAACTGAAGCCCAAGGAAAATATACTCCAAGCAGACCCATAAATAAGTTAGTGCCAAATCAGATATTATACCAGTGAACTTTCTGGAACATTTTACTGTAGACCAAGGCAAGTTAAAGGTGAAGAATGACTATAAAAGACTTGGAGAACAATCAGCAAATCTTCTCTGTCTGCATACTTTTTTAAATTTCAATTTATCTGATCCAAAGGAAAGTGGATCTGAGCCTAGCTAAAGTTAGCCAGATCATTTTGTACTTATACTAATTATTAGACTTTGAATACAAACAGACATATTTTTAACAGCACTCCTTTTGAGTTTTCTGAGGTTTAAATGTGAGGAGATCAAGATTCCATTTGAGTCTGCCAGCTCTAGGTTAGCTGCTAGTCTATGATGATTCAAGTTGCTGAGGGTGGCAGAAGATCCAATTCCAGATAATCACAACCTTTCCAGGAAAATCTCAAGTAATATGCACTATCAGAAGGAAAGAAGGAGGGAAAAAAATGAATTATAGGAGGGAAAGGCACAGGGCAAGTTTCAGAAGGCCTGCCCACTGCGGGCATAAATAAACGGAACAGCAGCCAAAATTAAACCAGGTACTGTAACTTTCCACGGCTGGCAGGAAAACTACACGAGGACATATGGCAAGGGACAACCTCTCCAGCAGAAGCAAAATCTGGATGAGGCTGACTTCTTGCAACCCATCTGGAAATGTTGTTTGAGCTGTGCTGAACTAGACAAACATTTTTGTGCTTAAGAATCGTGCTTTTTTAATAATAAAAATTCACAACAATGCAAACGATTGCATGTTCATTTTACAGCTATATGTGAATCTAGAAGATTACTGGCATATACTGGAAAGTGTCTCCATACTCCAGATATAGACATTTGGGGCCTGGTTCAGCTAGGTTGAGAGAGGCACATCTGTCTGTCTGTACTGGAAGCCAAAAGCTTCCTTCAACAATCGCTTGCTCCTACATACCGGTGGGATAGACAAGACTTTAAAACACTATGCCATGTCTGCCGTGCTGCGAGCCGGAAACAAGCCATCTGCAGGGAGTATCTTTAGTATGTTAGGTTTACTTGAAGAAACAGACTTCCTGCCTGAGGCTAAACACAGATGTACTGAGTTTCAATGCACCTTCTTCTACATCCCTGCCAAGCAGCTGATCTGCTGGTTGGAACCCCACTCCTCTGAGTGCCATTGTTCCAATTCTGGGTTTTAAAGGAAAAACAATTTCCAGAAAAGCTTTTATTTGAAATATCATTTCAGTGAAATTAAATACATGGAAGCGAAGCAAGGTCATGATTAAAATTTGCAAAAAAAATTTCCCAAGGTCATTTATAAAGAGAACTGAGAGCAACTTAAAATCGGAGGTTTTTTTTTTTCTCCAAGTCAACTATAGTCTTTAGTGATTCTTGTTTCTGATAGGTAATACATTTTAGGCCTATACATAATCTCCCATAAATGGCTTTAAAAGCTTTAAAATTTATGTCCCCATGCCCTGATAGTGAAGAAATGAAAGTAAATGCTCAATCAAGCATTCAGGTTTCATATTTATTATGTGATTTCCAAATTCTAGTCCCTGAGCAGGTCTAATGTAGACAGATATAAAATATGAATCATTTTTCCCTTATAATTTTTGCCCAAACACCTTTTCTGTTACAACCCAGGCACCATTAAACCATGAATGGAAACCTGCATTTATGCTGCAGAAACTACTCAGGTCCTCACAATCACATGGAAATTTTAAGTCTGATTTGCATTTTTTTCTAGGAAAAATATGCATTCAATAATAATAATTTCTGAGCCATGTCAAGAATAAGCCCCAATTATTTGAATTTATACCTAAAATCTGCACTCTGCTGTATGTAATTTCTCATGTTCCTAAAATCCTGCTGCTTTCTGGATGAGCAAACAGAACTGCAAGCAACCCACGGTCCCACCTGATGGTGATGAGTTGGAACGCATCCCAATGCTGTATTCCAGGATGTGGTGCCAGCTTAGAGCCTGGTGCCTTCAGATTTCAATTACGGCTACAAGTTTGATACTTCTTACGTTTTCTCTTAGCTTTCTTTTCATAAATATCCATTGAAATGAAAAGCACCCTGACTTCACCACAATGAAATATATCAATGTAGCAAAACTGCACTTGTACCTAATAAATATATACAAATAAAAATAAATAAATAAAAATGGCAGCTGAGATCTAAGTCAGATGGACAATGGAATCATTTTAGCTGATTAAACACTGATAAACCAGCGTCCACTCAACTCTTCATGTACGAAATTCAAGTCTGACCCTAGACTACATGGTGTAAGAAGGTTCTACTAATACACCAATATGCTACCACATCCTCAACTTCCCTGCCCTAACATCTTCTCCCCTTGTAATGTACAGATCTTCAGAGAGCAACTTCTTTGCTGTGCGTGGGGGTTGTTTGTTTTTGAGAGGGGGACTCGCTATGTTATCCAGGCTCGTCTCAAACTCCTGGGCTCGAGCAATCCTCCTGCCTCAGCCTCCCAAGTAGCTGGGACTACAGGTACGTGCCGCAGCACCTGGCTAGAAGGCAACTTTTTTAAATAAAAAGCAGAAAGTGCACAGGTTTCTTCATCTGGACCCAAATGGGGAAGACGAAGCTGCAATGGCAAAGATGCTTTTCCTTGTTTCTCACAGCTGCGCCTCACCCCCCAAAACCCAGATCCAAAGTCACTGGAGAAATGGAGGAAAAACCCATGTGACTGATGAAATTCAACTGCCATCATAACACTACACTGATTCCTGACAACTGATGAACAGCAGGACTGATCCTGGCAACAAAAACCAAGACGCAGAGAAACTGGATGGACCAAATGTTTTGTTCCTATCTGGACTGAGTGTTTCTATGGTAACAGCTACAGTTTGAGCACAGTTCTGGAACAAGTGCTCTTGGGTTAAAAATAAGGAGCCATCTGCGTCATTGGGATTGCTTCAAAAAGGCTTGCTTTTTCAACTTCACTTTA